ATGCCCTTGCTGCCAACGGACAGGCAGAATACCGGCAAAACACGTGTCTGGGCTTCTTAGATAGTACCTAGGCTGTTAGTATGGTAAGTTACAACTTTTCTGATTGTTGCCAGTCCCTTAATTGATACATAACCAATTCTCTCATCAAGTGCATAATATACGATCAGGTAATGAAATATATTTAGCCAATTACTGTCTTACAACTACCAGGCTAATTGTACTGTTGTATCCCTCTTCACGTCATAATTTAAACGCAAAGTCCTACAGTTTATGCCATTTGCTTATGTATTTAAGATACAAATTTAACCTATTTCAATACAAAGTAGAAGCGTTAAAAACAACAATTATAATGTTATACCGTTCTAAATATACATATTATGAATGATAGTTTGTAAAAACTATTTCAGGAATGATTATTATATATCAATTAGATGGGAAAATTCTCCTAAACTGCAACAGTTTTTCAACTTTTTGAGCACATAATTCACTCATACTTTACGAAAGTTGAAGCAGGAATGGAAGACAATGAGATATTACGTCACCCACCCATCACCACGTATAATAACCGAGAAAGGGGGCTTGATTTGGAAAAAAAGGGGAACTGGAAGTTTCTGCGTGTGCCGGGAGTCGAACCCGGATCGACTGCTTGGAAGGCAGCCATGCTAACCGCTACACCACACACGCTCGCTGCGCCGGCCTCTGCAAAACATAGATACAACCAGATTTTGCCCGATCAGTAAAGGGAAATGTGTCCGCAGGACGTGCAGCGCCTTGCCTTCGCTGCAAGGTAGGCTAGGTGTAAGCCCCTGCAGCTTATGTAGTGTGTGGCATTAACGGAATTCGGCTTCTTTATAAACACCGAGATGTTCGGAATAACATGAAAAAAAAAACGTTTACGATGCCCTGAGGCAGGAGAGGCTTTAAGGGGACGCGATATAATCGTGTACACACCAAATACGCATAAAAAGTTCTTTACATACGTAGGTCTCTCAAATATCTTTAGCACTTTAAAATTTTCGAAAATCTCCATTGAAAATGCCAGAAGATGATTTGGTGTTTTCGATAAATTCTCGTCAGGCCTGTATATTTATGTCGTAAATAACTAAATAAATTACGCGGGTTGGTAGAGAAAAAAAGACGTGTGGTTTTGAGGGCAAGTGGTGGGAGGAATAATCGTGTTCAAAAATCTGATCAGCGTTATGGCGGACTGGTAGCCGAGAAAGGTGATAGGCTGCGGTCTGTTGGATTAGTGACTGTCGGCCAGCACTTGTGTACTGATTTGCATCGCCTACTACAACTTTGAGTCATAGTATGCTGTAGGGTTGCTTACATGGTATCACCTTTTAACACATTTCTATCGCGTTTTCAATGTAGGCTGTAGCACTTATTCTCAAGAACTAAGTCAACCTTCAGCATTTTTATTATTTATTTTTATTTTATTTTATTTTTATTTTATTTATATTATATCCGCCGCCTGCGTTCATATCGCACACCGCAAGCCCTAATCTAGCGATTTATAGATGCCTGCATTTTCCTCCTAATCGTTTTCTGCTCTCCAGTTATTTTTCCAGCTTTACTTAAAAAAGACCTGGTCACTCTTAAACGTATCCTCCGAATGCTCTCTTCAGCTGCCGTTGTTTCCTATGTTTTTAGCTGACATTATAGTACAGCGCCACTTTAAAACGGTCAAGCAATTTG